AATTATTATATAATTAGTAATTATTAATTACCCAAATCCTCGTCCAATTTCTTATTATCCTTTGACCACACGTTTTGACTGAAATAATAAACAAATTAATTAATTAAATACTGGTTTTAAAGCAAACCCCAATTGAATACCCGGTCAATAGTAGTGCGATATCCCATGTGATGTTGGCTTTTGCCCGCAATGGCTTTTGATGTTCACAGAAAGCGGTCAAATAACTACTGGTGTCGATATAATGACTACCATTTGTGACATCAATTCTACTCAATTCAATCACTTGAAGCTTGAAATTGGCCACAGTTTTCATGTTTTCTCTGTTATAATATATTTCTGTCGCATAGATTAGCGCTGAGATAAATGTAGTCAACTCTTTCTCATCATTGAAACGAATATATAAACTGTTGTCATAAAAGACATGGATTTTGAGATAAATGTCACCGAAATGTTTGCCAGTGTTTAGACTAAATGACTTCACTTTCTGTCTATTGATTTCATTCGTTCGCAAATCATTTGGTCCTTAAGTTTAATGATTAAGGAGTGGATCAGCTGTTGAATGGTTTGGGATTTAATTTCATAGATCTTACCATTTCTCAAAATTATATCACTTCGTATAGACCTCTGATGACTGATCCCAATGAGTGACACAATTATTAGATAAAATACAAGTGAAGACATTTTTAAACACTATTTTATAATACAGTAGTTTTGAAATGCAAAAAATAATAACCGATTTTTTTCTCAAAAAATAGTATTCAAAATTATCCAACAATTTAAAGCTAGAATAATAACATTGTTTATAGAGAATCGATCGTGATTTTAATATTACAAATTAAATTTAAATAACTGATTGTTTTAACGATAAATTATTACAAATATAACACTTTATAATAGTTGTTCTGGATTTAGCCGATAATGAAATATATCAATACTAACAGTGATATTGAAAATAAATTATTTATATTTGTGTCTCCAAAATGTTTACCAGTGTTTAATCTAAAGGGTTTGACTGTAAAATGACCAATGTCATTTATGTCATTTGACCGCAAATCAACGTTTGATCCTAAAATTTAACAATTAAAAAGTGAATCAGTTTTTAATATGTCTAAAATGTGATATAAATAGTAATATAATTACGATTTCTGACAACAATATCATCTCTTCGTATGGATCTCTGATGAGTGATACTATCATTAGATAACACATTAATGAAGACATTTTCAAACAGTATATTTGTATTAAAGTTATAAATTATAAGGGCTCAATATGCTTCAATTTATAAAACAATAATTATTACAATTTTCACGAGATTTGACTTTAAATTTGTCCCATAATTATAATGACAACAATAATAATGATATGAAAGTAGAATTCAATTGATATAAACTTAGAAACAAATGATTACAACATTTAAACAATAAATTCGTTTTTCAATTGAATTTGAATTGATTTCAATTTTGCTTTATCTAAACCACAAATTATCATATTTTAAAGACTGTGTTATATCTGTTGTGTTAACAAAAATGAAATTTCGATATCAATTAGAGTTGGTTTTGGATAAAATCGGACATCACTTTGTTTGCTTCACAGGCAAACAAATATTCAACACAAAGTCATGATTTATGGGCCGAAACGCAGTTGACGATACGGAAGGCTACCCAAAATATTAGCCAATAGACAAAATGCGTATATAACAGATATCTATTGATTTCGACGAGTTTTACCTTTCTGAATAAGCAATATGATAACATAGCAACCAATGCTAATACAAATGGCAAAGCTACCTTTACGCCCGGTAAACACGTGAATAAAATGGGAGTAAAGAGCCATTATGTAGGGTTGTGACGATAATACCATACATTTATAACAAACTGATAACTGTTTATAATTATTCAAAACCACTGCTAATCTATAGGCAGAAGTGGCCGTAACTTTCTAATAGCGATGATTGCCATTATGTTAATCGACAAACCGATTGTCAATATCGCCGGAAATGTGGCCGAATTGACTCATTGGACCACTTGTTTGCTCAAAATGGGTGCCAAACAGAGCTATTCTTACGCATCACTTCTAACGGATCTGATGATTGAGATCTCAACCAATTTAATGACAGATAACTCACCGCTTAAAGCAAACAAAGAGGAGTTTAAGGAGGCGTTTGGATTCCTGCCATCGTTTGGCGCCAACACTACCGCCGGTGCCGACGATTCCGGCGCTGAGGCTATCGGTGCCGATGAAGAGACCGTTGGAAAGACACTTCGGGATCGAATGGATGAGGTTTGCAAAGATCTCGATTATTATTACCAAAACTGTTACAGCGCTATCATTAGGCCTAAGATTGCTTGGTATATGAAAGCCGTGTAAGTATTTGTATTTCAATATATCGCGGAAATCAGGAACACTTAAGTTGGACTTAATGTCGAATTTATCGGTGAATAGTTGTGTCAAATTAGATCTCCTCTTGCCTTCGGCCGCATCCAAAGCCATCGATTGGTTTTTATAGGTCTGACACGTGCTGTTGATTATCTNCTTTCAATTGTAGTACACTTTTGAAGACATATCTAATGATAACATTTGATAACACAGTAGAGGACAAGTGCGCCGACGGTTACGCCCACCAGAAAGGGTACGGCTTTGTCGCCGATTGAACACGAAGTCTGACCACCAAAACCACTGGACGACGACGAGGAGGAAGACTTGGAGGCCTGGGAACCGGCCGGTGATGACTGCTTACGATTCATATCTGTTGACAATTATCACTAAATATCTATTGCTTTGACTTTTCTTTAGTGTTTGTGTTTTCGGTTTGAGTTTTTTAATATGAAATTCAATTTGAATTTTATGCAAACAATTATAGTCTCGTTATTATTAATGTATTTTAAAATTAAATTAAATTAATTTACCTTAAATTAAATACCAAACAATTATGATATTTATCTCGTGAATTGAATCAAATTTTTAAAATAAAAATCAAATATTTTTACTCTATTTCTAGTCTTATTGTGTATTCAACGCAAATATGACATTAATTATGGTTCACATGATTGTAATGGCATTCATGTTATGTGTAAACCATTTGATGGTCGCAAAGGCATCGGCGGAGGAGTTGTGCGGCGACAGGTCTACGAAGATATTGAGTACTTTCCGTATTAGAGATGACTTTTACTTTCAAACCATATCTCCGGGAAGTGATAGCAAACTCTTTATGTGGAATACTACCGGACGGGTCAACCCATCCACAAATGGATCCATTTCTCCAAACAATTACAAAAATATTCACGACTTATCGCATGTTTTAAAATATTTTAGAAATTACTTTAATTTCGGTCAGTCTTATCGGTTGTGTTAACCAAATATAGTGTTTGACACCCATTGAAAGCCACTGATATTTTACCATTTAAACACACATAAACCAAATATGAAGGTAATGTTTATCCCATTTTATAACCACATTTCATAGTAAGCGATACACCAATAGCTGGATATCTGTTAAACATGGACATGGAGTTTGGACAGTGCGCTAACGCCAGTAATTTCGTAAACAATACATTGAGACCAAAGTTATGCCATATTTTCAATAACTCACCCGTCGATCGT